CCTTCACTTCTGGAAAGCACAATATTGAAACCAATTATGTGTCTGTTGATTGACCCTCCCCTGCCTCCCCAAAGACATTAGTGTAGCTCATTCCAATAATGTCAAAATTTTATCTCCAAAACAGCAGCAAAGAGGGAGAACTACAGAACCAAGTTAAAACGTATACTCTTACTGGCTGGTTAGAGATAATACATTTGGGCAAAATCTCATTGTGCAATCCTACAAAAGCATGTAACTGCTACAGTTTCACAACAGCTAATTGCTTCGAAGGAAACATTGCTGAAAGGTAAGTTACCATCAGCTGCATTGATAATTCAGTGTAAAACGTTGACATTTATTTCTACGCAGGCTTTGAATACTGTCGAACCAATGAAAGTTCTTGTTTGCAAGAAATAGAAACCTACTCTGATTATCTTAAGGGAAGACAACAAAGGTGAGGAAACGGGTTGAACGGAAGTACACAGAGGCTTGCAGAATTGGTGCAAGGCTGGAGGGCCAGGCTGGGAAAACGGTCAGGAACCCAGAAGCCCGATAGAGCTGGGCACCCAGAACCAGAGCAGGGGGCCAGCCAAGCCAGCTACTCCAATTCCACGGCCAGAATGCCCTACATCCGCCCCCTGCCTGCACACTGCTTGCTCAAGGACCAAAGTCCCAGAAGACAATGTGTGATTCCCGATTCTAAATCACCTGGCTACTCCAGTGTTCATCACGCTATTTCCAACAGCCAAAACATGGAAGCAACCTAAGAGTCCATCAACAGAGGAATGGATAAAGAAGATGTGTGTGTGTGTGTGTGTGTGTGTGTGTAATACACAATGTAATATTACTCAGCCATGAAAAGGAATGAAATATTGCCATCTGCAGCAACATGGATGGACCTAGAGATGATCATACTAAGTGAAGTATGTCAGACAGAGACAAATATATATCACTTATATGTGAAATCTAAAAAATATTACAAATGAATATACAAAACAGAAACAGACTCACAGACATAGAAAACAAGCTTACGGTTACCAAAGGTGAGGGAGGGATAAATTAGGAGTATAGGATTAACTAACTCCTATACATAAAATAGGTAAGCAACAAGAATTTACTGTAGAGCACAGGAAACTATATTCAATGTCTTGTAGTAACCTATAATGGAAAATAATCTGAAATATATATATATATATATAACTGAATCAGTTTGCTGTACACCTGAAACTAACACAATATTGTAAATCAGCTATACTTCAATACAAAGAATACAGGATTCATTTTATGACTAGCAAAATATTTATTACTAGGCTAATTGGAAGAATCTGAATAAAGTCTATGGATTAGAAAAAAATTTTAAATAAAATAAAATAAATCACATGGTTACATCCGGGAGAAGAGAGAGTCTGGCCTCCTTAGCCAGCTGTGCAGCTACCTGGGACTCCACACAGAGAGGCTTCATGGAAAGTGGACAGGGGACGAATAAAAGGGAAGTTGGATGACAGACTCACACATACACACACACACACACACACACACACGCACACACGCACACACGACAAAGCTTTACTATAAATGTGCTAGTCTCATTTGTTTTTTTATTAAAGCCTTTGAACTGGGGGAATAATTTTCTATTTCTGGCAAAGTCCACTTTGAGCTTTGGAACTTAAATGCCTCGAACGGGAAACAAAATAGATGTGTCCTCACACCGATGTCTGTGCTGCAGGCAGTATGGTTATCAAATGGTTCCCGGGTTCTGCCTAACTCCGATCAGAAAAACATGGCTGTAACAGGGAGCAAAATAATCTGTCCTAAGTTCTTTGACCCTTATGCTAGAACACAAGATTCAGTCATTTCTCAACTAAAAAGGGTATTTTCAAATTGGGTTCCCATGTTTGGTGAGTCGAAGTCTGACCTTTCTCGGTTTTTTACTTTAGATGATTCTCTCAGCTTATAGTCTAATTTTCTTGGTACAAAGTATGAAATGTACAAGCATTGTTTGCACATACATATTTCACTAAATGATGGCCAAAATGCAATTCAACATGGAACTTTACTCTTCAGGATATTTTTATCATTTGAATAAAATAAAGATCAACTTTTTAAAAGGTCAAAATAATATTTTATTGCATATTTGCGTACTAAAGTCCAGATGCTGCCCTTTAAATTTTTTTTTAAAAAGTGTTCTTACTAAGAATTTTGCCAGATATGAGTACATTTTCATCAGATTTTAACTCTTCAAAACCTGACCCTCTCTGCAGGGAATGAAGCAGTGAGAATCTGAAATCAGGTTTATTCCCTTAAAGAATTGTTTCCCTGAGAGGCTGGGGAAATAGGGAGGTGTTGGTCCAAGGGTACAAACTTTCAGTTGTAAGAGGAGTAAGTTCTAAGGACCTAATGTACAGCATGGTGATTACAGTTAACAGTACTGTATTCTATACTTAAAAGTTGCTAAGAGATTAGTAGATCTTAAATTTTCTTACCATACACACACACAAGTGTGTGAGATCCTAGATATGCTAATTAACTTGATTGTGCTTATCATTTTACAATGTATATGCATATTAAATCATCACGTTGTACATCTTTCTAGAAATCACATTGTACAACCTAAATATATATAATTTTTTTCAATCATACCTCAATCAAGCTGGGAAAAAATAATAAAATAAATCAGTAAAAAATAGTTTCCCAGGACTTCCCCAGTGGTCCAGTGGTTAAGCCTCCATGCCACTTAACACACCGTTGTAAAGCAGTTATACTCCAATAAAGATGTTAAAAAAAAAGACTCCACGCTACCAACACAGGGGGCGCAGGTTCGATCCCTGGTCAGGGAACTAAGATCCTGCATGCCCCGCATTTAAATTAAAAAAAAAAAAAGTTTCCCATAAAAGGTAATGATAATATAGAAAGTTAATGCAGATGAACAAATGCTAAATAATAAAAGCTCTTAATGCATATTTACTAATGAACTGAATAATAACTACATTTATATAGCACTAACTGTGCCAGGAACTATTCTATTTACTTGTCATATGTTACCTCGTTTAAGCCTTACAATGGCCCAATGAACTAAGTATTATTTTTATACCTGTTTTACAGATGAGAACACAGAACAGTTAAGTAACTTGCTGGGGGTTCCTAGCTAATCCAATAAGCCCGGCTCTAGAGTCTGTGTTCTTAATAATTGTTATAACACCTCTTTGGATCAGTTTTTCAACAAAGGTAATGGAAGTTCTCCAATTAATGTAATTTAAAGATAAATATGCAATCGGTCGGGATCATTGAAATAATCTTCCACCTCTACTAAATTTTAGATCAAGGTGTTACAATTTCATCCTCACATATTAAAGCCTATAAACCTGGAATAGAGGACCCCTCTTCCAAAAAGTAGATATATTTAGACCACTCTCCCCAAGGTAATTGTGCATTCCTTATCCCGTAACCAAGTATGTATGCTTCCTCCGATATTACTCTTGTCAAGATATGACCTGGGAAGGTTTTGCTTGGGGTGCAAAGGTAGTGTCTGTTGATGGACACTTAGCTTGCTTCCAGGTCTTGGCAATTGTAAATAGTGCTGCTAGGAACAATGGGGTGCATGTAACTTTTTGAATTCGTGTTTTGGGATCTTTTTGAAAAAAAAAAAATGAATGAGTGTATTTTGAAAGGTGGACTGAACAGCCTTGAAGAATACAGTGACTACTGAAAAGATCTGCAGACACACTAGACCTAGTGGACCCTGTCACGAACTCTAACTTCCACCCTCAGTTCCTGTGTTCATTGCTTCCACTGAAGCCTCTGCTCAGAGCAACTGGAGCAAAATGATGTTTACATTTTACCAGTGTTTTATTTTCAATTAAACATCTCAGCTGCTATTTACATAGTTAAATGGCATGGCATTTATTCCACGCAATTTGATGTTATTTCTTTGTAAATATTTCTCCAACAAGGGACCTAAGTTCAAATTAGTTGTGAAAATGTCACCCAAAGTAAAACAAACTCTAATTTAACCTTGATCACAAATTATTGTTCAACTAAAGCTGAAAACCTGTAAAAATTAAAAATGGAAGGCCAAAGGAATTAACTGAGATGCACATGGCTCGGGAAGCAACTTGTTTTTGCACTGCCTGGGCCTTTGAGGACTTAGGTCGGGTTACTTCAGCTAAGGGCACGTTACAGTGGAGAGTGAAGGTTTAGGGGGCTCAGGGCAGTGATGGGGTGCAGTCTGCTCCTGCCCTCACCTCACCCCTCCTGCCTGCAGGTCCATCCTGGAATAAGTCACCACCGGAATGCTTCACGTTTCTCACTAACAGTTGCTGTTACCCGACCAGCGCCTCCGTCCGAGATCATTCATCATGGCTGGAAATCTCCACTCTATCTGCGTCTGAAACTCCCAGCGCCAGGCAGGTCAGCATCAAATTCAGAATGGGAACAGAAGGGTAAGAGGGTCTGCCTGGCTCTCTTTGCGCTGCTACCCCAGAACCTTCTCTTCCTGTTCTCTCTTTAATGCAGGGAGAAGCCTAAGGAGACAGGCAATGTTTCAGACTGGCTTTTTAACATTTACCGGTTAATTTCTTCCAGTTTTCTAGATTCTGACATAGAAATCTGAATATAGAAGTATAGGCTTCGGGGTAGGACTTGCCTTATATGCTATGCACACAGTGTAAAAGCTAATCACCACAACTATATAATGTGACTTGAGAGATTCCAATCACGCCGTTAGCCAACACCCCCCCCCCCACCAAGAAAATAAAAAATTCCATTGGCTTGGCAGATACCAGAGACGAGGGTGGGGTTAGCGTTCTCTTTTAAACTCCCAACAGCTGTAGAGGGATAAGCCATCATACTGGGGCCAGCCATTCCCAATTCCGTGTGGATTCCTTTATCAGATTACTTTCCTCTGAGAATGCTAAATGAAATAAATGCATACGAATTTGACAGGAAAAGGGGAGGGATCATTTTTGGGCAGGGGTGACCTGACGTCAAAGAAATTCAACAATTTACCAATTTTGCCAATTTACCGAAGTTGCCTTGGTTTGGAGAAATAATCCTTCCTCTCTATTTCGTCAGCAAACTCAAAAGCCTTCAGCAGTTAGGCAGGTAACATAAATTACACAAAATCAACTGTGTCAAGCAGCGGAGGGTGTCCGTGACGATCGAAGAAGTACCAAGCTCATCACGAGAACTGCAAATCCAAAGAGAAAATTATGAAACAACGTGGCCGGCCAATTAAGATTAGCTATAGACAGCTGCTAGTTTTTGATCTGTAATGTAGCCCAACTTGAGTGAAGCCCTTATGCAAGAAGGATATCATTCAGGAATTTTAAAACGCCGTTCAGCACCTCGTGAATGCTCGTTAAATCAAGAGGACCTAGAGAGACTCTAATCAAGGGGCGGTCCCAATTACTGCTCTCCCTGATTTGTGTACATTTTTCCCATGACGATGATGGCCATTAGTGGGATGGCTCAAGGAAGTCTCACGTTATGTGGAATGAATTGGCAGCAACGGACAGAGATGTCAGGGAAAGGCACCAGCTTGGATATTTGGGAGCTCAGAACCAGAAAGCAAAGTGCTCATCAGCAGCATCACATAAATACCACCCTCAATTCTTTTCTTTTGTTTCCGTATCTGAGAAAAGAACAGCACTTCCAGTGCCTACCTCAGAGTGGTATTATGAATATGAATCATGTAAATGCCTTGCAGGTACTTTGAAGATGAAAAGGACAAGTTAGTATCAAGCCTCAGAGTGGCAGACAAGACATCCATAATTATTAGAGCAAAACAGGAAGGAGGCACCCCTGAGAAACTTGGAAGCAAGACAGCAATGTATTTGTTTCTGTGCAAACCTTTTAATAACAAAAGCCTCTGAACTCCTCTTCACATGAAAGAGGCTCCACTGTGTCTTTAATTAGATCATTCTATTGGAGCACAATATAGTGATAAAGAAGATTTAATAAAGCATTTTGTCTTTTTATTACTGTGATTTGATGCAACATATCTGCTCATCCAGGCAAGATGTTTAACTTCAAAAGAAGTTCTGTCCACCCTCCCCTCTGGCCAATAAATAACTCCAAGGCGGAAAAAGCACAATGTATTTCGAGCATCCCATGATGCTGAGTGATGAAAAGATTCATCATTTTTTTCTACTGTGGGTAGAAAAGACGTGGGTCTTTAGTCCTTTAATTTTCTTCCATAACTAGTAGAATGTGTAAGACTTTAAATCTTCCCAGTTATTGATTAAAACACATGGTAATTTTGGGGAAAAAAATCTAATTTGTCAACAACCATGGTAAAACTTCCCTATTTAAATGATCTTGGATATGTCCATTAGACTGGATATTTTAGGAATAAACAAAATTAAGTCCTAAAACAGTTGGCGTACAATCCTCTGTACTATGACAAACTTATTCTAAACATCTTTTTTATACATAGATCTATAATTTGGTTCAATTCTTGAATTTAAAATTATGACCAGGCTGAAAACATAAACAGAATGTATAAGGGGTTAAAGAATTGACTTTTGGAATTAGTTTGCCTTTTTTTTTTTAAGTCATCTTAATTATATTAGTATAGATGATCAGATTAGCCAGACAGCCATCCTGAGTCTATACGTAAGAAAATTTTGCTAACACAACATTGTAAATCAACTATACTTCAATAAAAAAGAAAGAAAACTTTAGACAAAGCCATATAAACGGATAGACATTGATTGAGCAGCCTGGATAAAACTGAGAAGGAAAAGAAGGACAAACAACAGAGGGGAAACTAAAAGCAATATCAGCAAAGACAGGAGGGAGAGGAAGCACCCAGTCAGTCGTCTTAACTACACTACGTCTCAAAGCCACTTGGACTTCTTTGCACAAAAATTTGGCTGTATTAATGAATCAACTGAATCTCTTGGAAGTAGGCTTAAATCCTCAGGTGAACAAACAGAGAGGAAAGAAAAAACGAAACGTCTCAGGTGAGTCTGCAGGCCGCAATAGTTAAGCAACATAAAAATTTCTAAGTGGCTTCTTAGAACCTAATTTTTGGCATGACACAAACAGATAAAAACAGACATTCCCAACAATTCTCTTCTGTAAGAAAACTACTGGGGACTTCCCTGACGGTCCAGTGGTTAAGACTCCGTGCTTCCCATGGAGGGGGTACAGGTTTGATCCCTGGTTGGGGAACTAGGGTCCCACATGCCATGCGGAGAGGCCAAAAAAAAATAAGAAAACCACTGGTTTCCATATCTCCCAACTAGAGTTCCTTACTACTACCCTCATACCTGAATTCAAACTACCTTCACCATTAACAGGGGCTCCGGTTTTCTTATTTGTAAAAATGGAAATAACAAGACCTACTACATGTGGTTGTCATGAGGATTCAGTGAGGAAACACACATAAAGATCTTGGAAAGTAGCAGGTTCACACACTTACACCCACCCACACTCACTCACATGCACACATACTCTGATTCACAACACCGCCCGTGTCCTCTGAGCTAGGCTGCTGTACCAGCAGCATCTGAATACTCGTTTATACATTCTCCTGTCAGTTTTTCTGCAGTGATATGTATTCAAGATTACATCTAATAAACTGTACATGTCCAGGTGAAAATTGGTTTCCTCCTCTGCTCTACAAAAATTTCCCAAATGCAATTATCTATTTATTTGGGGGAGTCTTGTCTGTATCTCTAGAAGCAGGTAGACACAGTTGTAAACTGCAGATTCCTAGAGAAAAAGCACATGACACTGAAGGACAAGGCCTGAATGGTCCTGCTTCTTGCAACTCAAAGGAGGCGGGTCCAACACCAAACCTACCCACTGATGCGGGACAGCTCCAAGGAGTCGATCCCACCTGCAAGCGATCAGGAAGGGTCCTGCTGATGGGCAAAGTGTGACAGCTAGCAGCAGGCTCCGTCCACGGCACAGGCGGCGAGTGCACTGGTGAGAACAAGCACAGCTCGGACAAAACTAGAATTCAAAAAGATGCATGCACCCCAGTGTTAACTGCAGCACTATTTACAATAGCCAAGACATGGAAGCAACCTAAATGTCCCTCAACATGGATAAAGAAGGTGTGGTACATATATACAATGGAATATTACTCAGCCACAAAAAAAGAATGAAATGATGCCAGGTGCAGCAACATGGATGAACCTAGAGATGATCATACTAAGTGAAGTAAGTCAGAAAGAGAAGGACAAACACCATACGATGTCACTTATGTGTGGAATCTAAAATATGACACAAATGAAATTATCTACGAAGCAGAGCAGACTCACAGACGTAGAGAACAGACTTGTGGTTTCCAAGGGGGAGGGGGTTGGGGAAGGGCTGGACTGGAAGGCTGGGGTTATTAGACGCAAGCTTTTATATAGGATGGATAAACAACAAGGTCCTACTGTAGAGCACAACTAGGTTCAGTATCCCATGATAAGCCACAATGGAAAAGAATATGTAAAAAAAAGAATGTATGTATATGTATAACTGAATCACTTTTCTGTACGGCAGTAATTAACACAACACTGTAAATCAGCTATACTTCAACTTTTTAAAAAAATTTAAAAAAGAAGAGCTCCAAGGTTTGAGGCAAGGTACCAAAAGAGGGACTTAAAAGATGGGGTCTTATTGTGGTTATGTGTTATGTGTATAACAGAGACTAACTCAATCCAGCTTAAGCAATCAAAAGAATTTCTTGGAAGGAACTGAGGTATCTAATGGATCCCAGAGACAGTTGCAGGGCTGGAAAGCCATCGAGAACCCAGGCAGGTCTCTGTCTCTCTCTTGCTTTCTCTCCTACCACCTTTCCTCATGGTCAAAGATGGCTGTCCCATGGCAGCTCTCGCGTTTACAGCACTGACACTGTACGGAAAGTGATTCCCTGGAAGAGATTCTGAAGGCCTTGCTTGCATCAGATGTACTAAAAACATGACTGCTAGCGGCCCAGGCCTGAGCTGAAGTGAAGCCCTTAGGCAAAGAGGTCACCGTGAGGATGGTCACCGTAAGTATTTCAACTACAGAAAAGATCACCAATTCTGGAACAAACTAGCAACCGAAACAGACTGGTGCTGAGCCCACGGCAACTGAGCCACTGCTCAGCATCTGCCTCGAGTACAGGGAAGCTCTTAGAACCAATTCTGAAGGGGGAACCAAGGAAGCGCGGCCACGCAGAGGGAAGGGCGCAAAGTTTTAGAAATCGAACTGGCTCGCCCATCCCTAACTTTTGTGGGACCCAGAGCAAGAAAGCAAACAGAGGTCCTCATGTCGTATGTCTGAATATTTAAAGTGATTCATCAAGCTTACAAACTGTCGAATAAAATATATTTTATCACCTGACCTTGACAGATGTCCCTTCGTAACGACTTGGAAGGCCAAGTTGTAATGGAGGGTCCTCGGCTTCCTGTGAGATCCACATTGGAACGTGAGAGAGCTGGCTTGAGAGCCACTGCCTTCTTGTCCACCCCAGGCATCTGGGCGGGGTGGGGCTCACAGAAGCATGTGGACACCCCATTCCACACACCCAAGGTTTTCCCACATCTCTCTCAAATAGCCACTCGCATGTGACCAGGTGATGAGGAGAACAGACCCTGGAAATGGGCTGTTTGGGAGAGAATGTTAGGGTCCCAGGGACCCAGAGCAGGGTTTCTTAACCTCAGGACCACTGCTCTGGATGGGTCTTTCCTGGGGGGAAGGGAGAGGATTTCCTATGCATTATAGGGTGTCTAGCAGCATGTCTGGGCCTCTCCCAACTAGATGCAAGTAGCATTTCCCCCTAAAATCGTAACAACAAAGTCTCCTGACATTTAGTGTGTCTTCTGGACAGAATTGCTCCTGGTTTAGAACCACTGGCCTGGAAGGGAAAGGTTGAGCTGTGACCAGAGGCAAAGCTAGAGCAGGGATGAAGTGGGGTAGGGGCAGTATAAAGCATGGGGACCAGAACAGGGGCCGCTGTGTGCCAGGCTCTATGTTGTCTATCTTCCCAGAATTATTTTCTCTGATCTTCCCAACAACTCAGCAAGGGAAGTACAAGTAGCCCATTTTATGGATGAGGAAACCGAGGCCCATGAAGTGAAGCATCTTGCTGAATTTCGCACATCTAGAAACTGGCAGGACCGGTCATCCAGGTTGGGTCTCTCAGGTGCCAACCAGGCTGGGACTAGCTTTACACAAAGCCAAACTAGAATCTCAGGCTTCCAA